TTTAAAACAGCCAGCATTTCTCTGTAGCCACCATGTGCCCCTGGCAGGGCGGGGGCAGAGTGCTAGAGACTTCACATGCTCCCCTCACCCTCAAATCCTGATTGGCCTGGGGACAGGGGAGCATGCGAGGTCTCCTTCTGCGGCGCCTAGAGGGAATCGCCAGCTGTTTTAAAATAGCTGGCGATTCTCTTGGGGTGGGGAGGGAGACTTCCTGTGCTCTCCCACCCGCAGGCCAATTAGGGTCTGGGGGAGGGTGGAAGCACAAGAAGTCTCCAGGCCCCACCCCTTCTGCCTGAGGCCCCCCCTTCCAGGGTGACCCCAGGCCACTTAAAAAATGTAGGCCTTTCAAATAAGCACCTGCTATAAACCCTTTAAATGTTCTGTCCTTTCACAATTGTATTGTTTGAGGGATGGATTTTGTCTTTTACCCTTCACTTTGCATCCTCTCAGCTCAGCTCCTTGAGTACTGCAGAATGTCCAAGGATATAGAAGGAAAACCCTCTTACAATGATAGAAATGTAGCCGTGTTAGTCTGGTGTAGCTGAAACAAAAAACAGGACTATGTAGCACTTTAAAGACTAACAAGATGGTTTATTATGTGATGAGCTTTCATGGGCCAGACCCTCTTACTCTTACAGTGTTATTTTTAAATATGGAGGAAGTTAGAGGTTACCATAAGTTACCTCTAAGTTAGAGGTTATTTAACCCTTTCGATCTTGTGGTTAGTTTTTACATTGTTAGCTTTATCACATCCCACTCCACACCTTTTCAGGTTGAGTGCACTGAGCTAAAAAGTGGAAGTGGATCTTAGCTTCTCATAAGAATTTGGCCAGTAATGCCCTAGAGTTTGTGGGAGGTGGGGGGCATTACTGGCCCATTACTAGAGTTTGTGGGAGGTGAGTGGAGTCAGTTTCTGAACACACATTTTTCTTCCATCTCTATCTGAAGTAAAATTGCTTAATAAAACTTACAATAGCTAGGAAATTCATTGCCCCTTGGAAGGAAATGGTGCTTTAATTTAGTGCCTGACTTTTTATGTGCCTCTTTGGAAAATATTACTATTAACCTCTAAGTTAGGCCTTGTTAGGTCTGGGTGCAGGGAAATGGACCAGCAAGGGGGTTTACAGAGCACAGATCTGTTTGGCAAAGGAGTTGCTGAAAACTGTGGAGTAGATACTGCAGAGAATACCTTTATGATTGATTTCCATTCACGTCAGACTGACTGCAGTGTGGTCATTTTTCTAACCCATAACTGCTCGCACTGCAGCAGTCTGATATCTGCAGGGTGTCTGAATTATAGCAATCCGTGCCCATGTTACCTCTTACACAAATTACTTACACTGGTTTCTTTTTCTATGCAAATTTGTCAGTTTTACAGCCTCTTGTAGGTGCTATCAGGAAACACTAACAGAAAACACAAATTAATAAAATGAGTTAGTTTTACTATATTTAATTTTTCTTTAAAAAAAAAGCCCACCCGCTAATACACCCAGTGCACAGAAGCATATTTTAGTTAAATGAATACGACAAAATAGTTTGGTGTTCTTGCCATAAATTACTTCCCAAGTTAATTCCTTTAAATAATCATTCCAGATTTCTTAAATTTTAATAGCTTTGTGTACTTTTCACCACATGCTTTTAAAAATATGTTGTTGTCCATCCCAGTCCTAGTCTGTCTCGATGATACACTTTGGTAAAAAACCTTTGCCCTAGATTGCCAATTTAATTGCAAAGCTATATTTGTCACCTGTCAAATCCAACAGTGTTTGTTAGCTAAGACTTGAGGAGTGTAATAGGTCTTGGCTCGCTGTCGTGGCGCCTCCTGCTGGACTCCTTGGAAATTAGCTTTTCCAGCCCTGGAGCTCCCTCTGTTGACCGATGTCTCACCTCAGTTAACTATCTTCTGCTCTACTTCAGGCCCCGTGTCCCTTCAGATCTACAGTGCCCTTTCCTCAGGGTACTGCCCTACAGCAGTGCCCCTGCACTTTGGGGTCCTCCCCTCCCAGGCAACACCAGTCCCCTATACCCACATTGCCTCAGTGACCCTCAGCCAGACATCATCTAAGCCCTGCCTCAGGGCAAACTGCAGTCTGAAATGGCCTTATATTGCCCTGGCTGCCTCCCTGCAGTACCCCTCAGGCCCTGTATCATGGCTGCAGCCTGGGAATTGGGTCAGGCCAGAGCTCCCCAGCTGTGTCTGCCTTTCCCCAGCACTGCTCTGTCTCAGGTATCCTCAGTAGCTTCCCAAGCAGCCAGGTCCCTCCTGCTTCACAGCTGAAACAAGAGTGTGAGCAGCCCTCAGCTATCTCTTGCAACCTTTTATAGGGCCCAATTTGGCCCTGATTGGTTGACTCTTCTGTGCCCTAATTGGCCAGCATTGTGCAAGGCTGCTCTGGCTTGCTTGTAACCCTCTCCCTGCTGGAGTGGGCTACCGCACTACTATAGAGTGAAATCCTGACTCTACTGAAGTCAAAGGTAGAACTCTCAGGAGGTGTCTACACTGCACCGTAGCTCAAAATAAGATACACAATTTGAAGCTACGCAAATTGAGTATCTTTTTTTCAGTCTTATTTCAAAATAGCTTATTTCGTCATTTGGGGCACAGTCTACACAGTGCCAGATTTCGAAATAACCTGCTATTCCAAAATGTCACTTACTCGTTGTGCAGTTAGGTTTTCAGGGATATAGGGATGTTGGAATAGCGAGCCTGAAATAACGTAATGTGCTTGCTGCAAAGACGCGAGATCACTATTTCAAGATACTCTGGTATCATGAAATAGCATTGCAGTGTAGATGTAGCCTCAGTGACTTCATTCAGGCTGATATTTCATGCTTGGTATACAGGGCAAGACATCTGAACCATCCAGTCTTGAAGATGGGCTCAGTTCCTCTCCTGTAGGAGCAGGCATAGGTCTGTTGATTTTATGCCTATCTCCTAGAGCTGGAAGGGACCTTGAAAGGTCATCAAGTCCAGCCCCCTGCCTTCACAGTAGGACCAAGTAACATCCCTGACAGATTTTGCCTCAGATCCCTAAATGGCCTGCTCCAGAATTGAACTCACAACCCTGGGTTTAGTAGGCCAATGCTCAAACCACTGAGCTATCCCTCTCCCCTTAGGGGAGAAATGTTCAGGACAGTTGTTTCAACTGACATGAGAGTAAATTTGGCTCAGTATCCTTGTGTGGCATCAGAGTTCTGATACTCTATCTTGTGCCAAATAGATATATCTGGGGCAACGGGGTGATTTTCATCAGTTTGTGAAATGGGAGACAATCAATCATGGTCCATAAAGCAGTATGTCCTGTAAAGGTCAGGACATTGGAATAGTGAAGGTGGGCATGGTATCGTAGCACATGCAGTTTATTTAGTCGATTTTAAGATCTTGTGTAGTTAAGATCTTGTTAAGATCTTACCGGCTCAGTTTTATATTTGGTTACAATATTCTCATTTGTTCCATATTGCCCAACCCATGAGAGTTCACAACCCTGTTCCTGTGAACTTTGGGAAAGGAACTCTTCTAATACCTTAGGGTACGTCTAGACTACATGCCTCTGTCGCCAGAGGCATGTAGATGAGGCTACCAGGCATAGGAAAATGAAGCGGCGATTTAAATAATCGCCGCTTCATTTAAATTTACATGGCTGCTGCACTGAGTGATCAGCTGTTTGTCGGCTCAGCGCGGTAGTCTGGATGCGCGGGTGTCGACATCAAAGGCATTTGTCGACCACCCAGGGGAATAGAAGATCTGAGGCTACGTCTAGACTACACGCTTCTTGCTCAAGAATCTTTTTTTAGAGGAGATCT